AATACCTGAAGAATAACTGAATTTAATCAGATTACTCCTATCTGGGTTCATCTTTGTCACGTATCATCTTTTAGCAGCAGCCAGTTGGGTACTCAGGGCTATAGGTAAACATTGCCGCATGCTGATTTAACCAGCCTTCCAAATGCATTTTCTGCATGCTATGAAATACTGAAACTAAGCAGAAGGACACAAACCTGTTTTTTCTTAACATGAGTGCAACTCCACAGAGGTCACCCTGTTGTGACGTACAGAGGCAGATGTTGGGCCAGGGAGTTTCAGCAATGTCTGTTTGTTCCCCAGATGTTTACCCCTCTTTGCCTGCAAAATACTCAAGAAATTTTGTATTTAGAGCATTAGAAGGTATAAAGCAGCAAGCAGGTTTTACTGCATCGTTATACTCTTGCTATATACTTTTTTTTATTTTGCTTATCTTTAGCTATATAAAAGAGATGTATTTTTGTGTATTTTTAATGCATAGTAGTTAACAGAAGCAGAAAAACATTCATGTTGTGTAGTATGGTTTTCTTAATGAAGGAATATATCTTGATAATGCATCTTTTTTAAGAGCAAGTAACTCTACAAATTATGTTTGTACAGAATGCTTGCTGTATCATATGGTAACTTTTATGTTTTCCCATACCATAAATGAAATGGGAAACATCCACAAAAATAGACAAAAGTGTCAGAGTAGCTTGGATTGTCATCAATATTTAATGTATCTACTGTTTGATTTTTTTTTTTTTTTAATATAGCTTAAAATTTGACAGGTAGAACTGCAATTTGTTGTCTTTTTTTTCTCTTTATTATTTGAGAGTAACACTAACACTCGGCCACTTCGTGGCATTTCATGTAACAACAAGAGTTACAGCAAGTAACAGAACCCTGCAAGGTAAAATGATGCAGAAGAGCATATAAAATATTTATTACCCAGTTATACATTTTTAAAAGCCAGCTACAAATTCAAAGGGGTTACTTCTTCTTCCTGTGGTCTCAGACTTTGAAAGAAAGCATTGGCTGCAAAGACAAATTAAGCTCAAAATATGATTAAACGATGAATCAGCCACAGTGAGTTCAAATAAATCTAAAGGATCTCATTTAAACCCACAACAGCAAAAAAGAGCCTCAGAGTCAGAGCCAGAATTCTTTCTGGACCACAGACGCCATCGAGCCTAAGCACTGTCACACACGAGAGAAAAATGATGGGTTTGGGAACTGCTTTACCACCGAAGTGCAGGGGCCCAGCTTAGTGCCTGGATTTGCCATTGACATGTGGAGAGCTTCAGCTCTTTCTTGTTCGGGCAGAGCCAGTGCTACTGAAGGCTGAGGAAAGATGCCCATAGCAAAGGCAGGAGGAGTTTGTCGAGATTCAAATGTCTAAGGTGACCGTGGCACTGCAGGAGACAGTGGCTGTGTGTCTGCAGGGGTGTGGGCGTAGTGGTGTCCATAACAGTACATGCTCTCGTTACCTTCACAGCACTAGCCAAGGTAGCCACCGCTGTGTCCTGAAGGACGTGTTTGCAACAGCAAACTAGAAAACATGGCTCAACGATGTCTGATCTTTTCATTAAGATAATAACGAATAATACACTGTAAGAGGCTGTGCAGACTTTGGTACCAGGGTTGTAACATCCAGCTTGGGGAATCCGAGATCCATGGAAGGGTTATCTTTGCTGAAGAGAAAACATGCATGCTCTCAAGGTGCTAAAAAGCGTGGTGCTAGCAGCAAGCCCTCAGCAGTTCGAGGTGCCCCAGGGTGCAGGGCAGCTGATGGGGAGCAGGGCTGAGCAGCCGGTGCCGAGGGGCTTGTGGGCCACCCTATGTGTGAGCCCAGACCAAACCCAGCCTCGTCACACAGGCTGAGTGCTCACAAGACGTCAGAGCAGACTAGGTGCCTTTCAAGACCACATCTCACGGTTCAGCTTGCCACTTTGCGTACTCTAAGACTGCTTTACAAAGCTCATCAGGGTGCTCAAAGTGTGGGGCCATCAGGAGAGTTGTTTCAGATCCTCACTCCTGATCTGAACTGAAACGCTCATGTAGTCACAGGCAGAATGTGACTTTATTGTTCCAGTTTTGATCCAAGAAGCTAGCTGCTGTTTGCTTCTGTTAATTTCTGATTTTTTTTTTCTTCTTTTCCTGCAGAATCTCAGGGACAAACCAACCCAATCTTTAAGGATTACCTCCCTGGTTCTTCTGACCTTCCTGAACAGAATAAGCCTGTTGAACCAACAAGTCCCTGGAAGCAAACATCACACATTCATAACTTGCCACCTGGTCTGGAGTACCTGAACCAGGTCCTGAATTTTTCGATGTTAGAATCATTTTGTTTTCCTCCTAGACTTTTTTTATGTTTTCGGGGATGGGGTTGTTTGCATTTTTTTCTTAGGGGAAGGGTAGGTGGAAATGGAGAGGCTTTTTGTTGTTTGATATTAGGCTGAAATAAGGAGTGTAGGAATGACAAGCTCTTCCTTCATTGCTGCCATTCATTTTTTACAGAAATCCATTTGTTGTGCATGCAGCTCTCCTTGCACCAAAACCATGGTTTTCTTCTCTCTAGCGCTTTTTCTAGGTCACAGTATTACCCCTCTCACTGTCCCCCCAGTCCAGCTCCTTAAGAGCCTGACCCTCAGGGAATTGACTATCAAACTCCAGCTGGCCTCCAAAAGACTAAAACAGGCAGCGTGTGAAGGGATTGTCACCCCCTTATAACTCACCCTTGGAGGGACGCAAAGGTCTTGTGAGCAAACTCCTTCTACCAAGGACAGTGCTCTCCAGGTTAGAGGAGAGGTCCTGGGGCAGGAGACTCCCAAGGAGATGACTCCCAAGGAGATGACTCCCAAGGAGATGACTCAGTAAGCGTACGCCTGCGCGGCTGCAGGCCCGCACCCACTCAGTGCTGGTTCATGAGGCAGGAAAGTGCCAGCACCTGAGGGAGGGAAACACCTGGAAATGGAAGTGGACAGGTAGGTCACAGGCAGGGGAGGGTAAGGGAATGCTAAATCTTCTCAGCCCTACTGCTAAACGTACGGCTGTTCATCTCGCTCCGTGGAACCTCTCAGCTACTGGAGCTCAGAGCAGTGGTGGTCTGCAGCTCTGCTCCAGAAGTTTCATCTCTTCTTACATTTTTTTACTGGGAGGGTCACTCCCTGCTACTGCTTTGACCCTGAGTCCAGTCTGCATTTCACATGTGGCTGGATTCTGCCACTCATGTATACCGAGTAACACTTTGTGCACCCTGCCTGCTATGGGCAGGGACAGAATCAGGTCCCAGTGTAGTCAGGTTGTGATTCTGATTCACATGCTTCTGCTGTGTTTGTATTTTGGTGGTGCTGGGAAATGTTTATTTCATTTGAGCTCTGTATTTTAGATATACATTTCTGGTAGTTTTGAACAGAAGCAGAAATAGAATATATTTCATTTTGAAGTTAAGTTACCTAGATAGCTAGCAAAACTGGGAGACCCTTCAGAAACAATCTATCATGCGGAGTTATGTTTTTCATTTCATGGTGCCCATACACAAAAGGATATGCGTTGTCAATTACATAAGCATTTGCTCAGAGGCTGTGGGAGCTACATTTTTTAGTCTAAAAGTGATTGTGATAGTAAATACTTGGCAGGTTACATATTCAGTCTCCTCAGGTTTACCCATACAATGTGGGCAAGCAAATTCTGTTACTCCATTTTACAGAAGCTGTACATCTGACATCGAGACAAAAGAGCAAGTCACTGTCAGAAGTAGAACCCCAGGCCTCACTCATGCTTGTTCTCAGCCCAATAACCATGTGTCTGCACTGCAGCCCTCCCTAATTATTCTCAATTTTCTCTGCAGTCTGAGAAGTGGGAAGCATACGTGCAATGCTGATTATTGGCGTATACCCACAGCCAGAGTTTCTGTGCCTCACAGAACGTTTTGGTGTGTGATGCTGAAGTCACACTGGCTGTGTGACTAATGAAACCAGCTCATACAGGAGAGGTTGCAGCAGAGAGGAGATCCCCCTAGCAGGGAGAGGGCTGCCTGCAGAATGAATGTGGGACTCACAGCTGTCAGGGCCATCCCTCGGGATTTATCCTGATGGACTAAGAGATTTTAATGTAATGAAATTCTCAAATGAATTAAGGTGTTTCTAGTTGAATCGGGAATTTTTGATGCCATTGGGAAAACTGGAATAGTGAGTATCCTCTGTGTGTGTTGGGGAGAGGAGGGTCCAAATTTAAATAGGCACAGACAAGTGCTACTGGAAGGACGTGCGGAGAATAGAGAGCCTGTTTTAAAACAAGACTCTGAGTATTTCATCTTAGACTAACAAAATGCTGCCAGAGGCTGACAGCTCTCAGCCCCAGACGAGTAAACCACCTGTGTGAAAGAGACATTTAATTGATAGAATGCTATTACCAGAAGAAAGATTGTAGAGAAAAAAGTAGTTGTGCACAAATACAGGTTAAAAAATAGAAATGAGATTCTGGGATTATCTCCAGCAGGAGTGGGGAAGGTAGCTGGATAGATTTGAGAAAGCTGAATATGTTTCTTAATAATACCATGACGTGTTTGATTCTGAAACAAGGATCCAAATGTAGTGAATCTCAGAGAGATGCTTACAGTCTTATTTTAAACAGCAACTCATGGACACAGCATATAGTGTTGGATGAGAGGAAAAGAAAATGTCTATCATGTACATTAAGGCCAGATAGTAATATTTCACTCTGCAAGTGCGCACCTGGAGTCAGTCAGGCTGAGGAGTGGTTCGCTCGGCTGTTCAAGGTGTGCCAGAGAAGGACGATAAACTGCTCTGCCTTGGCAAAGTAACACCATGCTTTCTATCATTATCACAAAAGTAACACTCTTTAAACAGTTTCCTACAAAATAAGTTACCCAAACCTCATTATTATCTTCCAGATCACAGCCGTAGTTCAAGGAATTGGCCAATGCCCATCACGAAAATCGAGGGAACATTTGCCCATAGCAGGAACGACAGATGAGACTTCAGAGAAGAATTTTCCATGTAACTCAACAGCATGTTGTGCCACCATTCAGGCTTAACCAAGCTTCGTAAGAAGCTTCTTAGTTTATACTTGGTTAGACTGTAAACTTAATGCCCACAAAATTGAATACCATGAGTTAGCTGTGTGGGAGGAATTTTAACACATCTGAGCTCAAGAGGACTCAGACCCTTGTAAACCAAAGGGCTTTAGATGCTTTCAAATGCAAGTGTCCCTATAAAAGATGCATCAGAATAGCTGCCTTGCAGAAACCAGTGAAAGGCAAAACAAGCAAGCCTAACAAGTGATATTGCCACTTTGTCTCAACATTGTTTGTACACAATAAATCAATGCACAGACCAAAATCACTCAAAGCTTTTAACTGCTCAGGCTCATTAATTTTCTATTCCTTCTGAAAGTCTATGTGAGGAAAAGAAATCCATATTAAAATCAATGCTGAAATATTAAAATAGCCCTGCCATCTTTAACTTGTTTATTCCCTTTTCATCAGCAGAGCACTTCCCATGAGCTCCAAGAGTTCACATCTCATGAAATCTAAACTACAAACAGCAAAGATTTTGGGGAGAAAGTTTTGAAGTCCAATTTTTTTTTATTATTTCAGTTACTGGCATGCACACTTCAGAGATTAATGAAAGGGATAAAAAAGTTTCTCTTTCACTAGCTTTTCTTTGCAGCCTGAACTAGCTGCAGGAGATGACTAGAATTGACAAATGGCTGCAACAGTTTGAATACGAACCAGGCAAGATTTATCAATTGTAAAATATACAGACGCTGGAGAGCTGTGACACGCCGGTCTCGGAAGGTTGCTGTGTGCTTTCTGTCTGCAGCTGTGAGTAATGGCAAAATCCTGTGCCAAGTGTTTGCCCATCAGGAATTTCAGGAAAAGAAATTAGCAAAGCCTAAACTATCACATAAAACAGGCATAAAAAGTCATATCAAACTGAAAGGTAGGCTGAAATTTAGTCTTGCTGATTTTATAATACTAATGACTGTTCTCTAAAAAAGAGTGATGTTGGAGGGATGATAAGCACAGAAAAGCTGGGTATCATGACAAACAGTTTTCCACCTGCATTTGTAAGCAGCTCACAGAGGAAGACATTTCCAGCCAGGGGATGGTTTCTCCAGGGAGCTGTCGTTTTGCGCATTCTGGCAACCCGGAGCGACCGTGTGCCAGTTTGAGAGTGCAGAGCTCCCAGTGCCGCAAAGGAGAGCGTTGAAGCTCGTGCTCGCTGGAGTGAGCAGCTGGGCTGTGCCGGCAGGGCCCCGTGGTGTGGGACTACAGCATGTTTGGAGCTTGAGCCCAAACTCATTCACTCCTGCAGCTGCCATAGTGCCCAGAACTGACCTTAGCTTTAGGTAAGGGGCTTCCTCTCTGCCAAGACCAGGAGGAAGGAACAGGACTGAGAAGTGGGTCCTGCTTCTCACATACACTTTTCTGTTGCTGTTGGCTTCCTCATTCCCCTACTACATTATTTCTCTTTAAATATGCGGGTGAATTACGTGACCACAGCACCCAATGTCACGATCTTCAGTCATTGCTTCAGAGAGAGGTCTAAAATGTGACTTGAGATGCTCCTAGAGCACCCAGCTTGTGCATCTCTGGAAGGAAAGAAATCCTAATAAAAGGCAGATGAACAATAAAAATAGACAGGTGATCACTGTCAGCCCCAGACCTTTCCAACATCTACCATCTTGTTTTTTTTTTTTTAAACAGCTGGACCGGATAATAATTCATCAGCAGGTGGAACTTCTTGAAGGTATGGTGCAATCCTTGTCACTCTTTAACAGTGCTGGTACACAGATATCTCCAAAAGGCTTCCAAGTCTTGCCCCCACCTTGCTGAAGTCATCCTGAAGCCTCCTGCTGACCTTGCATCAGGCCTATAATGCGGTGTTAGTGTGGTGAAAGCTCACTTTCTTTATGTGCCTGTTCTGTAGCAAACCAATGAGGAGAGAAAGATTACAGTGAGTAATCTCTATACCAGTCCCAAAGTCTCTCCCTCAGATGCTTGTCTCTCAAAGTTATTAAAGTTTAACCATCTTTTTGATCCATGGAAAAATTTATGGTCTTTAATAATAATTAACATGCTATGAGAAACAAAGTAAATAAAAAAGGAAGGTCAGAAGACATAAAATGAAGCATAAGAATTTCTATTTACATAGTTTCTTAGAATATCAGAGAACTAAACAAGTATTAAATTCTGTAAGTAAAAATATTTTCATGTGTTTCACACATTCAAAATGTTTTCGGCCTGATTCTTAGACATCTTAGTGAGTGAAAGCTTTATCGTTGGAGTGAGGCAGTCTCATATTGTTGCTTTTCACAGTATAGAGTAAGAAAAAGTCCAATCCAAAACTCACGATCTGAATTCTGTTTTGTGATAGGTACTTCAATGTATAGCAAATCAAAGTCTCGGAACTCAATGGTCCTTCAAAATACAGATCTGACATTATTATTTCTTTCTAATTGTTCATTTTCTTTATGTCATCATTTCAAAACAATTTTTTAAACAGCATCTGTTCCATGGATAGTTTTATACTACAGACAAGACTGGAACTATAAATTTGTATGTCTTGGTAAAGGCTAACTGTAATTCTAACGTTATACTAAGGTAACATACTACATGTTTTGCTTTATTAGCTATACTTGGCACAGAGACTTCCAGCAAATATGAGATAAAAAACCATTTGGGACAAAGAGTTTACTTTGCAGTGGAAGAAAATGGTTGCTTTGATCGTAACTTGTGTTCGCCTATAAGGTCTTTCACCATAAGGATTGCTGATAACACAGGCCGAGAAGTGATCACGGTGAACAGACCCTTGAGATGCAACAGCTGCTGGTTTCCATGCTTCCTGCAAGAGGTGAGTGGGTCCCAACTGCCTTTTGCCCAAGTGTGTTGCTGTATGGATGCAGCATTAATGAAACCTTGTGCAACCTCTGCGAGGATGGCAGAAAGGAATTCACACCCACCTCTCAGCCCAGGGGACTGAGTGGAGGCCTTTGTTTAGATGTAACTATTGATAAACAAAGCCCTTTTATGAGATACTCCCAGTTTGTCTCCTGTCTTTCATGGGATCGTACTCTACTGACATCCCAAACAAAGCCTCTGTATCTAATGATACATATGTCCCCCTGGTTAGGTAACACCCTAAAGCACTGCTTGCCCTAAAGCACTGCTTGTCCTGACACAGATCAATGTATTTAAGTGCTACAGATGGACATCACCTGCCGTACTCCCAGGGCATGAAGGATGGAAAATCCCTCGAGATCATTAGCGTGTGTGGGTACATGTGGAAAACAGCTCTCTGAGGAGGCCGATGCTTTGCTCCATGGCTCTGCCTCTTCAAGGCTGTGTATCTCTGGGAAATTGCAGAACTTAGAAATAAGCTGCTTTAAATTAAAAATGCAGATCCTATAGAGGATCGGATCTTTTATCCTTATTTTTGACTCTCCTTTATTCAGACATCTTTCTTGGTTTATGAAAATATTTTATAAGTTAACTTATCTACCTACTTTCTCAGTTCTGCAACAGGATTTTTTTTTTTAAAAAAGATCCTTTGGTAGCATAGCTACTGTATAAAAAAAGCTTACAGTATACTTACTGATTACAATAGAAAAAACTTTTCAGAGTATATGGCTTTTATCAAATCTTATATTACATGTAATATGTTAGCTTCTGATGCAGCTTTTGAGCTTCATGTTGTCTGCTATATTTAAAAACAGCATTAGAGAGCCTTGAAATTGCCAGTTCACAGTTTGGTAAAATTATATATGAATATATTTGGTAAATAAATATTTTGTCGTTATGTAAATAATACAATGTTATGAACAAATATACTTTAAATTAGTTTATAAGATCGTTTTGTTTTGTTTGCTAGCTAGAAGTTCAGTCCCCACCAGGTACAATAGTTGGGTACGTTGTACAGAACTGGGACCCTTTTCTGCCTAAGTTTACTATTCAGAATGAAAGCAAAGAAGATGTACTAAAAATAATTGGCCCGTATGCAACTTGTGGCTGTTTTGAAGATGTTGACTTTGAGGTATGTTTCTGATGAGTGTTAAGAATTTCAAAATTTTACCATTTTGAATAAATTTCTCACTCAAAAATCCTGCTATTCTACCCTTAAAAATATTACGTACGTTGCTATAATTATGCAACAGAAGTACAACAACATGCATCAGAGTTCCTGACTTTTACACTCAGATTCCTACAGATGTTTTCTGGACAGAAGCAACAATTCCTTCAAGGAAATTGACATGTTGCTGAGTGGAGTCCTCATCCTATACTGTCCATGACTGCTCAGCCATTGATTTCAGCTCAGGGTTTCATCCCACATGCATCCACTGGCACCTGACTCATAGTCCCTTGAAGACGCTGAATCCACTGTCTTCATTACTCTCAGACTGAGAACCACAGACAGGATTACTGTCTGATGTGTCTACATCCATTTGACAACATTAATCTGGAGAAAAAAAATGCTGAGGAGCCATTGAGATATTTAAGGGATGAGAGGGAGACTGGGAGATGCTCAAAGAAACCCTGGGCAGAGTTTTCTGATGCAAACAAAGCCCTTTGCTTTAGTTAAACAATTATAAAAGAGCTTCTGTGTTGACCAACTCATTAGCTAAATCAGAAGACTTCCATGGGTACTGTATGAAATTTCAGTATACTGTGAGAACCATGCAGATGGCTACATAATTGAGAATATCTGTCAGTCACAGGGGACAGTGATCCACAGCAATGGTACTGCTGTGACTTGGAGCAATCAGAAACACAAGACAGGAAAAAAAATCATTGTGAAAGAAGAGCAAAGGCAGCATAAACTTTCACAACTGCTTTCTCCCACTTTTCTGTCAGCTCTAAAGATGTTGATGTTTCCAAACTTGAGACCCTTTCTTGTGTGCCACTCCTAAAGGCAAATCTGACACTAATAGAGCATCTCAATGATAAGAATAAAAGAACCACCTGACAACTATAGCATATTCTGTGTGTCAGGGCACAGTCATTAATTCTGTGGAGATATAATCATTGCGTATTTGATTTATTTATGTTTAGGTGTATTCCTGTTCTTTATTTGTGCAGGTGAAAGCTCTCAATGAGATGTCAACGATTGGCAAAATTTCCAAGTATTGGTCCGGATTTGTAAACAATGTCTTTACCAACACTGCCAACTTTGGGATCCAGGTTCCCATAGATCTTGATGTGAGAATCAAGGCAGTAATGATTGGTGCTTGTTTCCTCATTGTAAGTATGAAAAACCAAGAGGTAAACCTACAGATGTGGGCAGACTGGGGCCAAAGGGGCCTTTGCTACCAGCAGTGATCCTACAAAGGCATAAGTGCAGTAAAAGTCAAACCCATACCTACAAATTAGAAGAAAACCTTTCAATTTTTATGGCTGCTTTTGTTTGTGTGGGTTTTTTTTATTTATTTGCTGAGCATCTTTAGGTTCCTAACATTTTTGTTTATTAAACTAGCTTGTTTAACTAGTATTCCACATGTAATTCAATATCTTGCATGGAAGGATCAAATGTCACCATAAATGTCAAACCTACCAGACTCCCCCAAACCCTTTCTGTTGTGTTTGAACGGGTGTATGAACCAGAACAAAAGTTATGTTATTTATAAGGGTAATTTCAAATTATGAGTGCCACTTCAATAGTTCTGTTGAGCGTTGCATGTAAGACTTTCAGGTCATAAGAAATTTCCTACAAAAATTCCTTTGTGAAGATAATCATAGGAGAAGAATTATATGAAAGGGGGAATATTCCTTGCCTAGGGGTAAGGATGAAGCCAAGATGTATGTTTTCTAGAATTACAAATTGGTATTTGCTGTGTACCTCTTTTGCCAACACTAATATGTTAATATTAACATGCGACGGTTTCAAAATCATCTGTGATTCTTATGTTTGAGAACATAAAACAAAAGAACAAAATTATTTAAATTATTCACTGGAAAGTGTTTGCTTTAAAATAGCAACAACAATTCAGATATTTTGCTTTTATTAGGTTAGAAATGTAACTCTCATGACACTTAGGATTTTCAGATTGTGTCCTCCAAAACTCCTGTTGCTCAGTGGCAGAGTAATAGAAAATGATTGACTAATCTAAGTACTTTATGTAAAAAAAGCCTACAAGTAAGGCTTTTGATAGTAATTTTTGCATTTTTGTACATTTCTTACAGTTCACAGTTTGTTTATTTGTAGGACTTAATGTTCTTTGAAAACTCTTTGGATGGATTATAACAAGATGACAGAAACAATAAAATATGCAGAATGTGTTTCAGTAAGTAAGAATGAAAATAAATTGATCTTCTTGCTTTGAAGACTTATACGTCATATACTTTCTAATTCTTTTTCATTTTCTTCCAGAAATCCCTTGAGCTTTGGACATGATTTTGAACTGCACAAGTCCTTGTTCCTTATAGGAAAAGGGGGATAACGATGATGTTTATTAAAATATGTCTCATGTAAATAATAATTTCTCACTTACATTTTGTGTGTTGTAGCTAAACACATAGTTTTCACACAGAGCACTGTTGCTTTGGAACAGTGCTATTCTCTTCTTTCCCTTTTGATGTTCCTGCATGGGAAATCATGAAAGATTAGATGAAGGCTTGCAGCGTCACTGATGAAAGTCTATGTTTAGAGAAGCCTTTGATGTTTTGCAAGTGCTGGTACCAGTTACTATCCACATGAGGGTGGGTTCTGGGGGTTTTGCTTTTTCATAATTTTAGAAGTAATTTTCTGATTTGTTATTTAATTAATAGTTACAAACTGAGACTGAAAGTAACAAATATAAAGACATCACCAGATAGGAAGTTTGAGATGTTAACTGTTTCAGTGACTTGAAAGCAGGGAAGTAATGTTTGCTAGTAAATAAATTTGATGGCAAAGAGTTGTTTAATGAGTGGTAGCCAGAAATTAGGCTTCCAGTACTAGACTCGGGAGTGTAAGCTCTATTCAGAAAATCTGGTCTTCCACTGCTTTTATTGAATGCAGGCTGTAAGGTTTGAGAGATGGTCCTCTATCTGCTAAAGGCACATGAATCACTTCACATTTGAACTGTCTAGTGTTAAGGATTCTTACTCCCATCCACTCAAGATTTTCCTTAAAAGGTTTGTTGCTTTTAATAATATCTGGTGGTTGATAGCTTTTCATTCAGCATTGCCTGGGACCACCCTAGAACAGAATTATTCTTTTCCTTTGGCAAGCTCAGGTATGATATACAATAGGACTTTTTCTGTTTCAGATTGCAGTTTTACATAGCTGTTCATTCCTGCAGTCACACCTCATCCTACTGTTCCCAAACATTCCCACTAACAGGCTTTTACTAGTACAAGCTTCTTTTGTAGGAACATCCATGATACATATGCAAGACATAAAGAGATATTTTTTTTGTTGTTGCAAAATATTTGTTGTATGAAATTGCTTATGTGTCTCTAAAAAACTCCAATGAGTTCTGAAGAAGCAAACCGGTGCCATACAATGTTGATGGTAAAAACAAATGCTATCATAGCCACTGGGCAAGTTTCTAAGGCGAATATTTTACAAATCACCATGAATGCTGGATTTTTTTAGCATGAACTCGTAATTCAATTCTTGCAAATAACCAACACATCAACGGAAAGGAGAAGAGATAATGAATAATTCATAAAAATGAAAAAGAGCTAAATTTATCAGGTGATTAATCCTCAACAAATATTTAGACTAATTTTAAATTAATGTTCATGGATATGAATTCAAACACAGCGAAGTCAGGAAGTTGCGACTAATGTTCCCATAGTGAAATTAACTCAGGAATGCTTATAGATTTAAACAGTATGTTTTAGATTATATACCACACTTAAGTATTTATACAGATTTACATATGTCTTGAAAATAATTGTGGTTAACAAGCTCTGACAATCATCATTATCTGTTAACCATTTCATTACCGGCTCTCGCTGTGACTCTCAGCAGCGCAATCAGGCTTCAATCCGCAGAAGTGATGAACTCCCAGGGAACCGCTGCTGCCACCTTTCCGAGGAGGAAACACCCTGTACAGCAACTGTGAGCTTCGTGGGCAAGAAGCTCCCTCGTGTGGAAATTTATAGTTTTGCAGAAGAATTACAGGTGACGGAGGCCGATTTGCTGTTCTCACTAGTTTAACGTCGATGTCATTCTATTAAATTCAGTCCTTTCATTCCTGACTTACTGTAATGCAGATTAAGAAAAAGATAGACATTTATATTACTTTAACTCTTTAAATCCCTTTGCTATCTTAGACAGAAATGACTATTATTGTAGCCAACAGTCTTGGGTCTCATGGCGAAACCACGTTCTTGCGCCGTTGAGTCGTGGGTGTCTGAACGCCCAGCTGAACGCAGTGCCCGGTGGGATCCGCAGGCTCCCCTGCCAGCTGCCGCTCTGCCTCTGCATTTCCCGGCCCTCTTATGACCCTTAACAAGCCAAAGACGTCTTTGAAGCAAATGTATCCAACCACCATTGAAGTCAGTACAAAATAGGATCTTATTTACCTGCAGGGCTGAATTTGGCTGTGAGTGTTCACATATACCTGGTAGGTAAGCAATATATACATATAATTTTAATACATCACAACCAGATGATAGTGCTGTGTGTCTTGCACTTAGTGACTTTGTCGCTGCTTAGTGTATTAATACAACTTTTTTTTTGTTAAGTGTAATGCTTGCATACGTGTATGAGTATGTTTGAATGCCTGTGTTTATACCCAGCAGCAGCTTCTGGGACACACATGAACAGCTTCAGTCCCTGGATAAAACAGAGCACTGAGGCTGGGACCGCTCTTAACGACTACGACTGCCTCAGCAGCCTGTTTGACCTCGGTCTCACTCTTTGACATCCTGATAGAAATTCAGTGCCATTGCCAGCACTTTCATTGCCAATTTTCAATTGGAAACTCCTTCATCTAAACCACAGCTGCCAATATGAGGGCAGGTGTTTATCCTCAGCAAAGACGATGGAGTTTTGCGTGATATTACTAAAGAAAAGTTAATGTGTACTAAGATTTTAAAAACCTACAGCTCTAACTAGTAAGTTTTTCTTATTAATAGCAATGTTTTTCACATTATGGGAGCTACGTATGCTCTTTACAAATCTCACCTTTCACAATTCCCCCATGGGCTAGGAGTGCCTCTCCAAAGGAGAATTCAGTACTCCTCAAAGGAGGGACAGATATTCTCTAAAGCAGAATCATGTCCTTTCCATCTTCTAGAAAGAAATTTAATTGTTTTAATGAAACAGAAATTTTACTTAATCCAGCCAAGCAAATAGTTTCCCGCTTGATCACTTGCCAAATTGTAAAGCTCTGTAGTACACAATTGTGTTCAGTAGATGGCAGCAACAGTTCATTATTACAATATTTAGCTTTCCGCAGGTTACAAGCTGTACTCAGGGCGCTGATTAAAGATCAACACACCTTTAACCTCTAATCGATTTCTACTCTGAACTGGAGGATTTTATTTCCTTTGTCTGATATAAAAACCTTTGTGACATGATGCTGCATTATCTTTATTGCCTGCAACTAACAGCTGAATTATTGGTGACTGATGTTTTATGAGATCTGTAAGTGCACGGGCAGAATCCAGCCTACCACAAAGTGAGATCTTCCGGTCAACCCACAACACGTGTTTTGCACCTGGAGCATCTCTCCAGCTTCCACAGGTGGTTAGAGGAGAAGCCCCAGCCCCAGGACATTCCCCACCTTCTGCAGAAACAGAAAGCGCTGTGTCTAAAGAAGATTGCTTTGCAGTGGGATCCCTAGAATGTGGAAGGTTTCTATGGGTAAAATAACTTTGCCCTGTGTCATGTTATCATGGTTCATCACTATGTGCTGTCCTAGGGCAGAAGCTGATTTGTCCATAGGAATGTCAAACACTTTTTGTAAGAGCGTGGCAACACAGCATCTCTGTAAGTCCTGAGATCTTTTGGTCATCCAATAATTTGGTGGATGCAAAAGTACTTCTCTTTGTAGACTTTGATGTGCATATTGAAAAAATCTTTTTGTTTCAGTTGGGTTATTTGTTTTAAGATTAGACAAACCTAGAAATGATCCAAAATACAAATTTTCTAATGTTGTCTAAGTGGCACCTGTTTAGAAAAAAATTATATGCAATTTCCTCCTCCTGACTTTTCTCTTGTATTGATTTCTTTTCAATTAGAATGGTGTGTTCTATGTTAGAATGATACATGTGATGAATTCAAAGATCAACTTTAGGTTTTTAAATGTGATTTTTTTTTTTTTTCTTCCATACAAATGGCTCCCTTAAGGGGCAAAAAATACTTTAGTTCCTTAGGGAAAATTACTCCATCTCCTGAGAAAGGAGATTTGTTATTCTTTTTTTCTGAAATCCTAGATATTTTCCTAAACTCAGTCTCTCTTAGGAATAGCTTCCTTAATGCCAAATCATTATTGAAGTACTCTGTTAGCACCTGCCATGAGAAAACAGTTTGTTCATGATTTGTCAGTATTTTATTACTTCACTCCTCTGAAATGAAGTCAACAAAACAATTTTTAAGAGACTAATACCTGCTTTTTGGAGTGAGATAGCCGAGGCCAGATACAACTTTCTGCTTTTTTTCTGCCCTTGTTAGTATTATGCTTACAAAAGCGCACTAAGCTTTTACAAAAGAAGGGTCAGAAGGACAGAGACTGATGTGTGCCCAGCAACTTGCCCCAAAAGTGCATTCACTCCTTTATTGCAAATGACAGTGAATTCCTACCACTGTGAAAAGGAGACCTGCGGGCGACCTCACATGGTTGTGTATCTCCTAGGTTGCAGTTGAAAATTCATCCAGATTCACAATTAGGTCTTATTCTCCAATTTCTCTTTGCAAAAACAATACAGAGATTTCTCACCCCTATTCTCACTTTCATTTTGTTCTGGCAAAGGAACATAAACATCATTATTACAGCATTGCTGCAAGAATCAGAGTCCTGACCTTGTCTGCCTTGATACCCAGCAGACCTACTTGAAAGCTACAGATTTCACATCAAACCTTCTGTATTAATGTACACAGGACTATTCAATCCAGTGAACCTCGGATCTCACTGATTATTGAAAAGGCACAGAGTGAAGCTCATATTGAGGGACTGTGATTCCAGTATGGAGTCCTGGCATCAGCTGTGAAGCTGTGCAGCACTGGTACTTTCACAGCTGCTTTGTCAGTCTTGGTTTTGAAATAGATTTAATCCCTTTAAAGTAAAGTAATCACCTCCATTTAAT